GTCAATTGCGGCTGTGGCATAAGCTGAATGAAGTCCTTTTGCATACGCCACAACCGCACACATGACAGTACAACATTTGTAGTTATTATATTTAGTATTTTTTGTTTTGCTCTTTGTTTGTTATTGTCTTATTTCATTTTATTTTAATTTTGTTTATTACGTCTTTTTGTTTTGTTTTGCTTGTCTAAGTAGTATCAATATTTTTTTTTGTATCTATGTGTTGTGGCGTCGCAATAAATGTCTATTCTATTCAATTTGTGGTTGTCTTTGTGTGTGTCCATGACACCCGCGACACAGGATTTCTCTAGTGCGGGGCTATGCTGAGTGTGTGTATGCGTTAATTATATTTAATATATCTTAATGTACAGTCAACAGCACATCAAGCTGCACACTTTTGTACGAATATCGCCTCCAGGGCAACAACGGAACAAGAACAGTCAATGTGTGTTTGGTGTGCTGTCGTCTGTACATTGGGCGTTTAGTGCTTTTCCCATTGTAGTTTGCTGGGTCTTAGGAGACTAAAACAGGCATCGTCACTAGATCCGAACAATAACAATTAACAGACAATAAAAACAAATCATAAAAGCTAACAGATATGATCAATACGAATACTGATTTAACAATGTTTAAACATTTGCAAACAATATAATGTTCGATTAATATGATTTTTAAAAAATCTGGCGAAAAATTCTAAATAAATATAATTTGTAGAACCACTGCAATAATGTAAGGATTGACCAGTTACTTTTGTACTGTGAAATGGTGGTGTCAGACATGGATTTTACAACTGTAACTTGTCAATTTTTATCGTGAATTTAAGCCATTAAATAGATGTAAGCGGTAGAACGAGAATGACCTAAGGCTTTCTCGTTCTTTTGTCCTACGTACAAGTTTATCTTCGTGCCTGTGGACTGCCTGACTGGTTCACCTACGTGGACCAAGGGGAATCCTTCTTCCCTTTTGTCCCCTATGTCCACTTAGGTGTATTATGACGATTTTTACTCCTTTACTCTCACTATGTTGGACAGTAAAGGATTTCTTTAATATTATTATTGATAAAGAATTGAACATGACAAAGAAAAATTCCTTCAATTGACTGGATAGATTGCCTCGGTGTGGCAACAGACGCTGGTTCGTGTCCAGTCAGATCGGAGGAATTGTTCTTTGTGTTATTCGATATTTGTGTCAATAATAATAACAAACTAGTGGACTATTCCCACAAAAAATATAAAGCATCATCGTAGTAAAAACATCATGATTCTCAATAAATTAAATATTGCAATTTATTTAATGCAACTACGTGAAATTGTAATGCAAGTTGTATATATTCATGTCCAGCTAATAATAATAAAGCATAATTGGCGTCAATATTTTTTCATCACACGTCTTTTTTCTTTCCATTACAGCCATGGGCGGTAAGGATTTTTTTTATTTGTAGCACGACATACTTCCTTACATTCAAATCTTGCAAGGAAGTTACTTCAGTTCAAAAATATGACATTCGCTTAAAATGTTATCTAAACAGAAATTTAATTCGGCCACATATTACTTACATACTTATTATTATTACGAATTTCTTATAATTGATTTTAATTATTTCCTGTGTAAAAATTTAACAATTTTTTTTCGATCCATCGTGGCTTTGTGCGTGTTTGCATTTTACAACATTTTAGTTCGAGTTCTATTTATTATCCATGGAAGAATTTGAAAAAACCAGGCATTTGCAAAATCCATAATTGTTGTGTTGTGAACCATATTTATATTGTATTTATTTCCTCGTAAATGTGATGAAAAACATTGTATTATATGTATGTATCACGGACAGTGAAAAAATACAAAACTGTTAGTATTTTTTTATTTATCGTCCTTAATACACAATGATATTAACAGAACATTTTGTAAGCAATGGAGGTCATTACATACTTGATAATATCATCACATAACTTGATTTTCACGCCCTAGCTGCGGCAGCTGCATAGCTATTCAGGTTTCTCCCAGTGTAGTATGGCTCAAATTACACAAAATACAAACAACAATTTAACATTATTTAGTATAACTCTATGTATTTAAAACTATATGATTGCAAATGCTATTGCTGTCGGTTTTTTAGGCACTTTAATTTTATACTATAGCTGATAGAGTTAATCACCGAAATAAGCATTTTTTTTTACAATAATTATTACATAATAAAGCGATATAAACAATTAGACGTTATTATAATATATCGTCGGGGATAGTGCAATTCCGCGTATGTAGTATAGGTAAAAGGCGCGTATCTGCACTAAATCAAATTTTACAGGATAGGGATTTAACATTATTACTTTGTTATTTCAATGGTTACGACTACGATGATATGATGACGATTCCCGCAAATCACGCTTATTTGGTTATAACGACATTTTCGTGGATTTGATTTAGCCACGAAAATACCAAGATCGAAACTCATTATAATCCAATGCTAGTTACGCGTAATTGCACTATCCCCGACGATACGTCTATTTTGACACCTGTAGGGCGAGCACGCAAGACACGATTTGCGCGAGATACCGCTATTTACGCATGTTTCTTGCGTTTTATATCGCTCTCGCGTAAGTTGTGCTAGCCCTACTGGATTTTAATATGAAATTACTTGATTGAATTATTTGTTCTTTTAAAATCAATAGCAACAATTAAAAAAACTAATTTGATTAGTTTCCACAAAACGTATACCAGTATCGGCAATAATGTTCATATTTACAAGTTTTTATTAAAAATGATGAATTTGTATAAAAAAGTCATAACATCGATATAATTATTTAATAAAAATCATAAATTTTGCAGATACAGAATTCAAAACAACTATATTATGTATTTTTCGGATAAATCTTTTAAAAATAAAACAAAGTATTCTGCAACAATTGCATTGATGAAACTGGTATTGCAAATCATTTAGAGAGATAGTCAAATGCTTACTGTTCTTTGGCGACCACATTGGTAAAAAATTTTTGTTATGATAACAAAATAAAAACATTATGTAGAACACAACAACCTTACAGAAAATTGGCCCGACATAACACAACGTTATTTGCAAAGAAATTGAGCTTTTGGAAATATTTACTTATGATATGACGTACCTACTGAGATCCACAATCACCTGTACGTTACTAAATTTTTTATAATTCATTAATGACATTATTTTTAAATGGAAAACGATTACCACAATATTGCTGTTTTTAAGAGACTCCACTGACATTATAAATCAATATAAAAAGTATTTCCACCGTCGAGTTTTAAAGACAACGGCAAAAACTTAAGGTACCTCGTAACCTAAGGTACTCGTCGGCTAAATTTGAAAAATTCGAAACTCCGTTTTTGGACCAAGTCCCTATTTTACTTTTCAGGCGCATTATCGGACAATTAATGCTTAAAATATAATTTTCAGATCAAAGATATGATTATATCTTTATTTTAAGGTGTATTCATAGATTGCCATATAAAATTATTTCTAGTAATTCTGGTTTTTGTGTCTATTTCAAAGTTCTGGAGGTATAGTCAATGCCCTAATACCTGATCCTCTAGCCGATCTTTTGGTTCTGATAGCCTTCTTACGAATTGTATTCAACAGTGCGAAGGACTTTCAGCTTTTTGGTTGAAATTTGTATTTATTTAATGTAATTAAATATCAAAATAACGTTTCCTAAAACGTCATTCATTAATGATGCAGTAAAGACGTCTTATTAAAATGAATTTTACGGGTCACTGAATAAAAGTTAAATTTGTTAAACATATTTGTTCACACTGATCTACTTAGAACCAAATAATCGAATAGGGGTCAGGTATTTAGGCCATCAAATGTACGAAGATTACGAATTTAACCGACGTACGTCATTTCGAAACGTATTTATAAAAGATACGATATTGTCCACGGTTTATTTAATTTCGCCTTCCTATAAGCACAAGCAATAATAGGTCATTTCACCGGACATCATTGTTGGTTCAAATTTTATGAAAGTTAAAAATCAAATGACATTTGATAACAACGCTTTTGACATACATAATAAAGGTTTAAACGCTATTTATGTTGTACTTACCCACCCACTGACAAGGCACTTTATTGAAAAGTATTTACTTGTAAAGAACGTTTGACAAAAAAGAACTTTGGTAAATGCAGCTTCAATGAGATGTACCATCGAACAACGGTATTTCGACATATCAAACTGTTGTATTTGTTCAATAAATAGACGATAGATTAATTGTAATTAGATGAAACGTGTTTCGAAATGATGCACTACAAAGTACATACTTAATTAATTTGTAGGTACTATAAGAAATGCTGGTATCAGATAATTCTGTCTTTTTTGAGACGGAGTAAACTGACATTCGTAGGGTTGCCAGTTTTCATGAAATTTTAAACAGTGGTATAGTTGTTGTCGATAGTTTTATCGATAGATTGTGAAAGAATGAATTTTGCCAAAAATGACTGAACTGTGAATGTTAAGACGTTGTAACGATTACTAATTGAGTTGTTGTCTTCTTTATTCTTATTTTGACAGTTAGCCTACTATAGTATCGAGATCAATTTTTATTCACATACAATTTAACAAGAACACCCGGATTTGATTATCTATAGAATTAAAATTAAAAACTTTAAAATATGTCTCCTCTTTGTATTTTTCATAAACATAGTTCTAAATAAAGTGTATGAACTTACAAAAATTGACAATTTAAATGAACTTGTGCTCAATAATTGGATGAATAATGGGTCGAGGATGATTGAATGAAACAAGTTCGGCTATTAATATATTTATTGCTATTGCTATTGCAAAACTTGTTTCATTTCAATATAAAAGCCATATATTCAGTGGACAGTCGATAGAATATTTATCGACTGCAATCACTAGCTGCTCGCAAGCGAGCAGCACTTGCACAATGAACTGTCATTTTACTTCGACCTCAAAAAAGACAGACTTTTTTTATTATTGACTTTATATCCAAAAGTGGTTTTAATTCTCATGTTTTTCTAAAACTTCAATAATTTGCCAGAATACAGGACATACATTCTATAGTCATGTTATATGTATTTATTAAAAAATGCCAACATTCTTAGTCTAAATATTTTTCACAAAATGCCGATAATTATTTTGAAAATTAATGAAACAGCAATGTTTGTACTGATGTACAATTTAAAATAATATATTGTACATCTATTAGATGTTTAAGAACAAAATTTCGGAATGCTGTTGGTTATCACATGATAATCAAAATTATCATACGAAATCCTGGTCTCGCATCAAGATCAAAGTGTTCAATATTATTGGTATGTACATCCTGTACATTAAATCATAAATGATGAAAATGTGTTCTTTTACCTTAGTTATGATGAAACTCAGTAAACTACAGATGATTGTGACTTACGCTATCGGAGAGAGCCACGGTTTTTGCAACGTGGCTTGCTGTACTCAGAGCGAATTGGTGATGTTTTGGAAGAGTCGCTTTCCCCACCAGGTTTCAAGGTCGAAGGGCTTGAAATCCTGCAGGCAAGGGCTGGGTGCATCATCTTGGTAGTACAGGTTGGAGGAGGGTGCAGGGGATGAGCTGCCAGATGCTGGAAAAAGCAAATATCTATAGAAGAAAACTAAACAAGATACTTCAGCACTTTTAGGGTGAAGTCACTTAGGACGCAGAATACAAACATATTAATGTGAAAAGTTAAGTTTAACATAAATAACTGACATTTGGAAACGGGAATAAATGCGGTCACATACGAATAGGTATTTTTCACACCTACCTAGTTTCCCGACGTTTCGGCCGGGTTGCACTGGCCGTGGTCACGGGCTGAGCCGACACGTCGGGAAACTACCTACCTATTCGTACGTCAATGCAACGCCAAAGTTTTAAAGTATATATAAATAACTTAAATAAACGAACGTGGAATGGATCAAGATATTCAATTTACAATCCCAAATTACATGAATTTGCTTTCCTGGAAACTTAGCCGGAAACTTACATATTTTTACTTTCGAACCAACATCTTCTAGCAATCCGTGCAAGACGCTATGCCAACTAAGCCACGAACGAATTAGCGATGCTAATGCTTTTTTCTATGTGCTTGTTGCAGATTTTTGTTTTTGGTTTTTAACGCCTTTTTTGGCGTAGCACCATCTGTGAGAAATGTATGAAAAATTTTCTTCACTCAGCCAGGTACTTTTACAGCTACCAGCAGCAGATGACTAGAGATGTTGCTTCAATAATTGTTATTTTTAAATTCATTGAATGTCATAATGTTTGATTACTATGATTCATATTTCATTCCTGTTTGTGAAATTACTCCACTAGTTTGTTAGTTATTTAATTTCTCCACTCTTCATGTTTCATCAAGTTCCAGAAGGCCAAATTCTTCATAAATAAATTAAAGCTGCAGATTTGGAATAGGTAGGTAGGGAATTAATTATAAAGAATAAAAACAGATAACAACCCATTCCATTAGAGATAATAGTCTGGTAATATGATATTTATTTTATTTATTTACTTGTAAACTTAAGAGCTTTTTAAATACGATTTATATTTCACAAACTTACTTAGCCATTTACGAAGTTTGTCATTTAAACAATTCATTTCAAGATTATGATATGACTGACATACTAAAACAAGCAAGTCAGAATTTAGACAGGAATGTTGGGAATATTTAAGTAGATATGGCAACATTAAGCTAATTTTAGTGATCATGTAAAATGGCCATTTGGCAACACTCTCTCGTCCCGTTGCTGTGGTGAAATAAATAGTCTGCCGTTATTAAAATTATATTTTCAAATCTACTGAGATCTTTTGTAGTAATAATACAATTATATGCAATACCAACAACGTATGCAAAGGAGAAACAGCTGCCTACATTTCCCATGCTTATTGTAACGTGATCGACATTTTCAACAAAATTGAGTCATTCTCTGGGATCAATGAAACGAAGTCTACAACCCCCTCTAAAGGGTTTTTTAATATCTTATTTGTTTCAGTTTTAATAGTATAAAAAAGGTCGAACATTTCTGTGAGGAATCTATTAGTTTTCAGATTCTTTTCGGATCGTTCGAATCCAGCCGGATCGAAGGATTTTTTAAAGTGTAAGTTAATCAAAATCAGCGTGTAATTGACATTTTTTTTAGATCACAATAAATCGTTAGATGGCAAAACATTCAAAGTTACCGAATTGCAAATGCGTTAGTTATGAGAAGGAGGGCAGTACAATAGTCTAATAAGGATTTTGATGAAACTTACATTCAGAGCTTTATTTGTTACGCACTTCTAGTATCAAGCCACACTATATTGAAAATTTATAAGAAAAATAGTGGTTTAAAATTGCCAACCTACTTTTAAGGGAGTCACAACACTTGTTGACGCGGATCGACTTGAGCTGGCCAGAAAAGCATTATGTCCACGCAATAAAAGCGTAAAAGACGTTGTCAATGACAGTCACTGCGACAGGCTTTTACTGCATAGATATTAGCTTTTGTTGACCGTTTTAAGCCGACTCCACGTCAACAAGTGTAATGACGCCATAAAGTGGAAAGAGTTTGCAAATAATGAAGGCTTTCGTTATGTCCTACTTACCAATACTGCCATTGGTGGGGGTTGTGGGTTCACTGTCTCCATTTGCTGCTTGCGTCCACGCTGCAGGGTAATACAGAATGTTTTAAAAACAAAATATTTGACAGCAACATTGCAAAACTAGAAAACTAATAATGATTTTTTTTTATATGGAACTGTATTTTCCGTACTTAATTAGAAGGCAACTGAGTAGTTCTAATTTTTTATGTAACAACCATGCAATTTCTTACATCACTTTTTTTTGTAATGAACAACCATTATGGCTGGGAATTATTGTATTTTGTTCTATAATTTTCATGTGTCACTAGCATTGTATTTTCTTTACTATGGTTGGTCCATTTAGAAGTAAAGTTTTGTAATTGTAAATAGTAAGTGGTTGGAAGCTAACAACACAGCCATGCCGCTAATCCGGGAATCGTGAATTGGTGCCCGTGGCCAAATAAATGGACTCTCACATCTGAGAGGTAAGAAGCTATTATCAACTATCATCTCAGATAAACCTAGAACTTGCATATATTACTCTAATAACTTACAGCCACTACAGAATTCTGTTCCGGAGACCTGTGTGTAGTAAAGCTTTTAGCTGACGCGGCCACGGGCCTGCCTGAAGTGGTGCTCGCCTCTGTCTATATTGCGGAGACTGATGTGCCACCACCGCAGGAAATGGTACAGTACAGCTAATCAACTACTGCGAGCAGAATGGCCAGAATATGGTCGTGGCTACTGACTCCAATGCCCACCATCCGTTGTGGGGCACGGAACTCGCAAATGACAGAGGTAAGAACCTAACAGAATACTTATTCACAACTAACCTTCAAATCCTTAATAAAGGTATAGTGCCAACTTTTATAAATAAAAGATGTAGAACTATTATAGACCTAATCCTAGCGTCAGAAGGAGCAGTGGACCTTATCCATTATATAACTGGCACGTGTCCGAAGAAGTATCTTTCTCGGATCACAGATGGATAATATTCAGCTTAGAAATAGCCATCAAAGAACAACAACCGAAACGGAATCCCCGAAAAACCGATCGTAAACTATACACTGACAAACTACACCAGAGCCTGGGGGAACCGGTAACACAGGGAAGACTGCTGGACACAGCACAGATAGAAACACAGGTTAAAGAATTAACATCAAACATAATATTAAGCAGCTATAACTCCGCATGCCCACTGAGTGACTCTGCCCGCGGCAAGGCCAACACTGGTGGGGGCCTGAGCTTGAGAGGCTACGAAGAAGGGTAAGGAGACGCTTTAATAGAGTAATGAACACATGCGCGGATAAGGACTGGGAAAACTACAAGACGGCCAAATCCAAACTAAAGAAGCGCATACGGCTCAGGAGCACCGCATCATGGCGAGGCTACTGCGGGAACATCACGTCTTGCGCACAAGCGAACAGAATAAGGAAAATCCTAGGCAACTCAAAATCAACTGAGCTAGGTTCAATACGCAAAATAGACTACACATACATAACTTCCCCAACTTCAACTTCAGGTGCGAAGAAATGAACTACAACACATCGATCCATAACTGGCGACACGCTGAACAATCAAACGCTGAATAGTAACATACGAAAAGACAAAATGGGCAGTAAATACCTTTGAACCAAAGTACAAAGCTCCGGGTCAAGATGGAGTACTCCCCGCACTCCTACAATGGGGCGGGGACACACAGGTCCAGCACCTGGTCAACATCTTTAGGTCCTGTCTAGCATCAAGCTAGGTGCCCCAGAGCTGGCGAGAGGTAAAAGTCATATTTATACCGAAACCAGGTAAAAACGACTACACTGACTCGAAGTCCTTCAGACCAATCAGCCACACATCGTTCTTCTTGAAGACATTACAAAGGTTATGTGACAGAGAACTGAGGGATGGAGCGCTTAAGAACATACCACTACACGGAAACCAACATGCATATAGCCAAGGCAAATCCGCTGAATCGGCCCTACATGCCGTTGTGGGCAAGATAGAAGTGGCCCTCAAAGACAAAGCAATCTGCCTAGGCACCTTTATAGATATTGAAGCAGCCTTCGATAAAACCAGCTTCTCCAGCATACAATCAGCATTGAGAAGACACGAAGTGGATGAAGTGCTAATCAGCTGGATTAGCAACATGCTAAAACAAAGAACAATAAAAACAACAGCAAATGAGACCCCACGGACCATAGTAGCGAAGGGGTGCCCTCAAGCAGGGGTACTGTCGCCTCTGCTGTGGAACATGGTCGTAAATGACCTCATCATTAAACTAAACAAAGAACACTTCTATACAGTAGGACATGCTGATGACATAGCTATACTGGTAACAGGAAATTATGCCAATACACTCTGCGACATTACACAAGCTGCACTCCGGGTTGTGAAAAGATGGTGCAGACCATACGAACTATCGGTAAACCCAACAAAGACGGAACTAGTAATGTTTACAAACAAAAGACTACTGGGTAACTACCTACTACCCAAATTCTTCAGCACATAAATACAGATATCAACCGAAGTCAAGTAGGTACTTGCAAAATTAAAAAAGCTACCTTCAGACAGTGCCATAGAATGGTAGGTAAACAATGGGGACTTTCACCCAAGATAACACTATGGCTCTACAAAGCGGTGATAAAACCCATGATCAGTTACGGCGCGATAGTATGGTGGCCACGAACCAAACTGACGACCTCAACCGACAAGCTGGACAAATTCCAAAGACTCGTTTGCATGGCGGCGACCGGTTGCATGAGGAGAACTCCAACTGCGGCCCTCGAAGCGATGCTGGACCTGCGACCCCTCCCACTGTTCATCAGACAGGAAGCGGCGTCAACAGCAGTGCGTCTAAATAGAGGCGGCCTTTGGAGGCACATGAGGACCCCACATACAGAAATCCTTTATAAGACTGTCAATGAGGGACCACTACTAGAGGCGGCTGTGGATAGGATCCCAAAACAATACATCTTTGACAAAAAATACAAGATACAATTGTTTAAAGAGCCCAACAAAGGACTGAACCCCAGAGAGGTCCGCGTTTTCACTGATGGATCTAAAACAAATTCAGGAACAGGTACTGGGGTATTCTCAGAAGACTTTAATATCAGGATATCAACACCGCTTGGTGACCACAACACAGTGTTCCGGGCTGAATGCATGGGTACCAAGTTGGCGGCAGAAGCAATCATAGCGAGAAGAGTAAAGAATCACTTTCGAATACTCTCCGACAGTATGTCAGTACTTCAAGCACTGAACAGCTGTGACATAAACTCAGGGTTCATTTATGAATGCCATCAAGCACTCATCAGGCAAGAGCTTCGCACTCTAACTGCCACCCTAATGGGTCATAGTCCATACAATAAATACCTTTTCAATTTAGGTATCACAGACAGCCCTCAATGCAGAGTGTGCATGCAGGGGGAAGAAACAGCTGCACACATCCTACTACAGTGCTCCAGCGTGGCCAACTACAGAGCGAAGTACCTTGGAGTGCCAAGGTCACTTCCCGAAGTCTTCAGCAAACCGAGGAGGCTGCTGTGATTCCTGGAGGAGCTTGGGTAGCACGAGTAGGACCCTGCAACCACCACACGCAAAATAGGCGCCTTGACGTCGAGTTACGGACACCAGCCCGTTACACCAAGTACCAAGTAATTGTAAATAAAAATATGACTCTTAATTTCTTTTAGACTTTTTGCCTTATGTTTTTAATCATTCTGAGACATCATGAGGAAGGTATTATCAATATGATGTACATAACTTGAAGCTCAGGGAAATATCCACCTACACCAGGCACACATGACACAAGAAACAAATGTTCAATACATATAATAAAAACCTTACCATAAAGTGCAATAAGTACTTACGTCTTAATAATTCTCAATTGACAATAATCATTTTGCTCTAGACAGTATGATGTAGGTAATGCATCTGGTCAGTTTATAACTTTTTGCAGTAGTACAGTATTTTATAGGTTTTTAATAATAATATAGGCAACAAAGTTTTCATTTTCAGTTTGAAATAAACTAAATAAAGGAATTATAAAATGAAAAAAAGTGCAACATTCATATCTGTTATGTTTTCATGCCTAAATGCTGAACCAATTTTGATGAGTTTTGGTATAGAGATAGATGGCACTTAGGGAAATGATATTGGGTATATTTAGCCACAAAAAATAAATCTTAAAGAGGGTGAAATATGGATAAAGTTTGTATGGAGAATCAATAAAACTATAAAAATTTGTATAGTGCAGTAGATTATAAAAAAGAACTTATTCTACACAGTCGAAGTTGTGGGCATCAATTAGTATTTATTACATATCATTTTACCTAAATCCCAAGTTCAATCAATAATATAAATAAATTAGAAAACTTTATTGTCTGCATATAAAGTTTAGTTGCTGATATGAAAACATGTTCTATAAGAAGACAAATACATGCATAGTGAAAAGTCCTATATCTTTCGACATAAGTTTTGTTAATAGTGACCCTCCCTATCAACCTCTTGGTTCACCTGGTTCTCAAAAGGCTTGTTAGTGATTGGGTAAGTAGCCCCGGGGGCATGTATAGCGCCCTCCCTATTGTCCAGACAAGTACAAGAGCTGTTGGTACGCTCACATCCAGTTGCACATTGAACAACTAACTTTTGTAACTGCTACGCTGTTAACTCTAAAACCCAGTACAAAATCTCCAATTTGGTAGCAGAGCTATTACGGCTCGGTCAGCTCCTGACGCCGAAGTGTCTCTCCAGTTCCCAGAAACCTACGCGGCTGTAGAGGACGGAGTATAATTAGCTCATTCTCTACTGATTCTCCAGTCTAGTGCCAGAAATGTCAGTTACAGTGTCTTGTGACAATGTCCGGATATAACTTCTAACTTAAAGGGCAACTCACGTGGCCGGCGCGTCACCGCTCGCGGCGCGCGGAGCAGTGAAACCTTACAAAATTATGTATAAAACTTACTTTCACTAATAAATCTGATCATTTCTTCATGCTGTGGAGTGATCACATTGTGTTGTATCCTCTGGTGTACTGTCTTTTTGCCATTGGAATGAAAAATAGGTTTTGGCATACTGAAAGTGGAAAAAAACAATCTGACACAACAATATGTTGTACACTAAGTTCACATTTAAACATTGCTTAAAATATACGAAAAACCTGTGTGATGTGGACTACAAGAAATCGACTAAAACAGATCGGAAACAAGCCGCAGTATGCAGCCGGGAGGTTATGTAAATTCATCGACGAAGCTCTTACAAACACTAATATTGCATCATACAAAAAAACTCCTGCTCTACCTGATAATTTCTCCATTGTCAGGCTCTGAAGACTTCCTGTTGTGGTCCTTGCGGCTGTCTAATCTTTCTAAATTCTGTGATAGGCCTGTAAAAATCCAAAAGTTCATCTTCAGAATTAGTATAAATTAGCAATGCCAATGCTTGTCACACGTGTTAAAGCCTTATTACTAAGGTTTATTACCTCTGCGCGTTTTAGCAACTATCTTGCTGGGGCCTTTGGAGACAGTATACATTTTATAATTTCTTAAAAGAAATCAAAAAAAATAAACGTAAAAGTCACACGAATTACGAGAGCACCCGAAACGAACGAAACTACGAACTAGTGTTGCTATACTGAAAATAAAAAACTCAAATTAGGTATTTATGTCTTATTCTCTTAGTCAGAATTGTGCAACGTTCTAATAAAATATATCAAACCTGTACGTAAATAACCTAAAATAAGTACTCGAATTAACAATATAAAGTCGTATAACATTGAAATCATAAATTTCGATTAATTTGTTGATTGCTGACCCCTCGTTGACACTGACATATTGACAGCGAGTGAGATTAATTTGGCAAAATACTTTTCGATTTTTGTCACACTGAAACGTTTTATTTCACACAGAATCACATGCCAATTTTACTATCGTCGAGTAGAAAAAAGAAAAACCCAAGGAATAATGCCAGCGAGTGCAAGATCTTCTTAGCAGGCAGTGCAACAAACATAATCAGGAGTACAAATTTCTCTAACGTGTTCTATGATCTCTTAAATCGAACACTCTTTTCTGATTATATACTCGATGCTCCATCCATACATTGAAAATAGTTACAGTACCTACAATGGTATCTACACAATAAAAAGGCATTCCACGTCTATATAAACACTTTACATTGATGAGCAATGCCTAACAAATAGTAATCCCGTTTAAATGTATGAAATTTCTAGAACAGGTACAATATATTATCGTAATAAACATATTATATCGTATGGGGACACTGTAAGATTTTTAATTTACTTATTTCATAGAACTTCACGCATACTGAACGTTTCAAAGGTATGGATGCATGGAAGAAAAAAATGTTCTGTCAAATTCAAATTCAAATGGATGCAATGTTTTCATTCATTGATAATGATAATCAGGCGCATAAATCTATGTTACAAAATTCTACAAGAGAGAGTTTATTAGGGTAGAAGTATTCTTTGGTCTATGCCCGTACTAGTGTTGGGTAGAACATGAAATTAAAATGAGTTTGAGGGAGTACCTCATTTGGAAAAATGAGGCGTTACTATGTCCTACTTCAAATGAGGTGAGGTAGTGGTAAGAATGTTTGCACCTACGGCAATGATTCAACAGACAGGGAATATTAGGCACATTTTCATAACATGAGGGTATCAATCAATTGGATAACTGAAATGCTATGATATAGTAGATATAAATAAATGCTAATTTTATTTAGTACTGTGGTAGTATGATCATATGATGTAAAATCAGCTAAACAGCGGGCAGTGCAGGACCAATCATTCTTGCATTTGTTGAATTTGAAGCAGTGTGAGATGTGTGAGGCTGTGACATGAGGCTATGTCATAAGGTGAGGTGGGACTTTTTTATGACGTGATGTGTTGTGACAAACTAACCAAGCGAGTGGTACAAAGGAGTTGCCTCGATTATGAGTAACTCAACACTAGCCCCTACGTATATCAACCAATAGTTGAGCTAGATAGAGGCTTAAGATTTTATTATTAATTTTTTGTTAATATTATAATATTAAAATTTGTTAAAATATTAAAATTAACACTTTATTGTTATGATATTAGTGGAATTCGACCGAGTACCTAACCTAAGTGTTGCATTAAATAAGTATTGTTTATAAATATTTTTTTAAATGTACGCAGTGTTATCTACAAATAACCTTGTTGTTATCTTATAAGTACAAACCTAACAAGTAACTTTAGATAATTCACCTAATGTCCATTTTAAAAAGTTAATATATGTAAATGGCAGAAGTACAGGTGACGTTTACATTAGTATAGTAGTATAGGTATAGGTGAACAGGTAAACTAGGTGATTGGGTACTTATTGGGAAATTGTTGCATCTCAGCTATAGCAATAATACAATTATTAGTTATTGGTTTATGGTTCGTGCAGGTTACGCGTGTATTCGTAAGGATATACATTTTTTTTATCTGTACCTCTACCATTGTTACCTTTTTCAAATGTTTCTTCATTTTGTGACCGCTTTGGGCGTTGTCATTCAATTTGACAAACAAAATTGTCAATGAATTATGAGTCTGAGTCGTTTCCTTAGACTATTTATTTTTTTCCATCCTCTAAGGTCGTTTCCTATTCTTTTAAGGCGTTCGCTTACGACAGCTTACGATAAGTGTCACTGTAAACCAGGGGGTCTGCTCTCGATCTCCGTCCGATATAAGCCCGAAATAATTACTGCCAAATAAGCAATACTTGACCAAATGAACAGACGCGTGATGGGAATGAAGCTTCACACTGGATACTTGTCTTTTAATTTTGTCGAATATTACTTATTTGACAGTAATTGTTTCGGACGGATGTCGGACGGAGATCGAGAGTAGATCCCCAGGATTCGAAACGATCAAGAAATTTATTTTCTTTGATATTTATCATGTAAATTGTCCACGCTAATTAGTGTCTCTTTAATTTGTCACTAAAAATTAAAATACTAAAGTAGTATGTGAAAAAGACATTTTTTTAATAATATCAAGTGACGACACAAACAAGTCGTGCGCCTGATGGTAAGCTACACGCCTGTCCATAACAGTTGCTGTGCCACTCAGAGTTTTAAATCGCAAAGGTCTGAGGGGCACTGTCACTGCGCCCATCACCCTGAGACTAAGGTTGATAATTTGCCTGTAATTTCATCAAAACATTTATTCTTAATTGTTTAATTACTTGAAATGTATCTACAAAATAATCAACATATGTATATATTTTTTTAAACATTTCATATAAATCACTATATTTCCTAGATAATTTCTTACATAAGACTTTTATATGAATAAAAATTAAAGAAACACGAAAAAAATGTAAACGATTAGGGCCCTGATTTTTTGAGATTATCATTTGATATTGTTGCATAAGTCTTGGAAAAATTATTGCAGCAAATTTTTGATAATTCTTTTGCTCCGACTGTTGTATTATATGTTTTGTATTATAACTTGGTAAAGAATCAAAAATAAGATTTTAGTAAATGGAATTTGAAACAGCTCCGATTGTTGTGGCGGTCGAGCTGGGAGTGACCGTGGTACGAAAACAAAATGAGAAAGTGAAGGAAGATGGAACAATTCAAATTTAAAATTTAAATACATGTAAAATAAAAAAAAATATAGGATACAAGCGGAGAGAGGCGATACAAAAAGGTGAGATGACGGTGTAAGGAGGTCACTCTGTCACAATATTTTTACAAAACTACCGTACATAGTCATTTTTATTTGACATTGGCGAAATCACCGATTATTTCGATGGAGCCATAGCATTTAAAAGAAGAAGAAGAAACACGTGTCACGACATAAGGTCATAACAAGTCGTCGATGGTAAGCTACACGCCGGTCCGTAACAGTTGCAGTGCTACTCAGAGCTTTAAATCGCAAAGATCTGAGGGGCACTGCCACTGCGCCCGTAGAGAGTAAGACAAGTTGACAAGTCCCACGTGCCTGTAATTTCACCAGCACTATTGCCTTTTAAAACCGGAACACAATAATGCTAATATAACTGCTTGGTGGCAGAAATAGGTAAGGTGGCAGTACTTCCCTGGACGAACTCTTTCACAAGGAGCTCTACTGCTACTTATAGGATATTTACAAGATAGATATCAATTAAACCTAAATTTATGGTGTAATATGGTGTATGGTAACTTGCGATTATTGTCAGCTGCCATAGACTACACTGCTACAGATATACACGACTATAGATACCTACTGATATGCCATATCTTGTATATGTGATATGATAACCAATCATCGTGAACTAAACAGTGGTTACCTGAAGTAGGTAATCAAAGCTTTTTATGCAGGTTATCCATTAACTTTAAAGTTTGTAAATTCACAAACTGCACATTAACTTACCTCCTTTTCCTAAGGAGTAAGGTCTAGGTATAGCTTTTAAAAGTATGTGTATAATAATAATATTGTGTTAATGGTATCAATGAGAGGGTAAATACTATAATAACCTGACAAGCTCGAGTAAATGCCTACGCTGCAACTTGTTGCCAAGTCCGATGCGGGACAAATTAATAAAAAAACCGGGACGTGGGTTTTTAAGCTGGGGTCTAAGAAAATTACTGTTGCCATTAATTTTGATTTTTGATTATGATGCAGTTTACGTAGGTACCGAGTTTAAGGTTTTGTACACAAGCAAGAGTACTTTTATGTATTTGGCTGTGTAAACAATAAACTAAAAGAACATACCTACTTCAGAAAACAAACACCCTTGTGTGAAACAGGAATTGAATATCGAATTTTTTAAGGGTCTTAAGACCATGGAAAAACGAGACATTTTGCTCAAATTGAGACTTCTGCCAACACTAAGTACGACTACAGACTACATTTAAAATGGGACATCTCTCGGTGTGTGATTTTTGGCAAATATTTGGAATGTTTTTTTCTATTGGTGTATTTTCAGCTCTTTAAATAAGACTAATTCATATTTGCTAAGTGTCTTGAATTTTAAAATTAATAATATATTTCTAGTTCAAAAATAAGTTTCAAATATGAATAAAACTTGGCTACTTATCTGATATTCTACTAGAAGCTAAGGCTAATTCGTATCATTGTTATATTACCTTCGTCTGTATAAAAAAAACTTAGGATTAAATAATCAATTACTGACACATATTTTTCTTCGACTGAATTGCTTGTAAGTGCAGTCGAATGATCAAAATTCCATAAGACTACGTATTATTTAAATTGATATTTTCCAAAACTGATTTTATTTTGTCTACGCGTATACATATTAATGTTCATGATTGTACCTAATTATCCGGTTACTGCACTTTGCAAGCGCAGTAACATTATGTATTTGTGAAAGCCTCATCGTCTGAGAACGCAATTTGCCCATAAAGTGAATCCACTCATTCACTTTGCAATATAGAGAAATCATAATCTGACTGTGCGCCTGTGCTGTCTTATTTAAGCTGATACCGGTTGTTTTTGTTCGGTATGGTACGCGGGGCGCACTATAAGTTTCCGGAATTAATAAGAAAAAAATACTATAAATGGTCAGAAATGAATTTG